AAGGGCTGCTAAATAAAGTGAACTAACACAAACTTACACAAACTAACCCAAACTAACCTATAAACTTGCCTCGCCAACGCTATGATACGCAAACTAACCCAATCTAACCCAAGCTAACCTATAAACTTACCTCCCCCAACGCGATATTTTGTATTTTCGACTTTTTGTTTTCGACTTTTTGTTTTCGACTTTTTGTTATTCGACCTTTTCTCATTCGATCTTTTATATTTTCGATCTTTTGTATTTTCGACCTTTTGTATTTTCGACATTTTGTTCTCCCGACCTTTCGTATATGCGACTTTTTGATTTTCGACCTTTTGTATTTTCGACTATTTGCTATTCGAGCTTTTGTAATTCGACCTAGTGTATCTTCGAGCTTCTGGTATTCGATCTTTTGTTATTCGACCTTTTATATTTCCGAACTTCCTTTATTCGACCTTATATATTTTCGACTTTTATTTATTCGACATTTTGTATTTTCAACCTTTTGTATTTTCGACATTTTGCTATTCGATCTTTTGTGACAATTCGACATTTTGCAATTCGACCTTTTTTCCGTACCCCGTTTATGGGATATTAGAGAGATATAGATCATCAATTGAAGTTGAAGTAACAATACGTAACCTGAAGGGCAAATTTAAGATTATGGGATAATATAGGTAATATGGATAATTAATTAAAATTGAAGTTACAATATATAACCTGAAGGGCAAAGGACCCCGCAATATTTAAATGGAAATTGGTTACCCGTGATATTCGGATGAAATTTAAATATGTTATTGGGAATGCCGTAAGCAACATTTTTTACCATGGGCACAACCCTGTATATATGACAGGTGAGGCGTGGTTAGCTGTCAAATATTGGAATCTTATATCCAAAAGCAGAGTAACTATGGCAGATTTTGATGTACAAAAAATTTATTTCTACTAAGTCGACCAAGTTGAGTCGAAAAATGTCAACCATTTTGACACCTGTCAAAACCCTGCCAAACGGTAGCGCTCATCTTTTCCAGTTTTAAATATTTCATGATGAAATTTGACATTTTTAACTTTTATGTAAATTCTAAATTCAAATATTGAAAAAAAATTGACAGAACTGTCAAAACCTGTAATTTGCTTTAGTAGAAAAAACTACTCTAATCTGGTTCTTTTTTGTTTCAAAGTAGTTTATTGGTGAAAAAACATTTAACAAAGTTCATGCATGTCACATTTTGACAACTGTCAGAATCTGTTAATAGCTTTTTGGTTCATATTGAGTTTGTTTGCTTAGTGAAGTTCTACAACTAGAATGATAGAATAATACAAAAATACAATAGGTAATACAATAGAACTAAACCAATTTTATGCCCGTTGTAGAACTTCACTAAGCAAACAAACTCAATGGGTACATTCAGGCGGTCTCATCGGCTCTGCTCAGCCTCTCAGCAGGAACTTTATTCTCGAAACCAAGGAACAGCGTTCTCATTGGAACGAAGGTTCTGTCTTTGTCGTCCGGCGTAACACTGACAATGACAGAGTAATCGTTCTTATGAGAAGGCTGTCCTTGGTTTCGAGAATAAAGTTCCTGCTGAGAGGCTGAGCTAAGCCGCTGGGACCGCCTGAATGTACCCAATATCAACCAAAAAGCTATTAACAGATTCTGGCAGTTGTCAAAATGTGACATGCATGAACTTTTTTTAATGTTTTATCACCAATAAACTACCTTGAAACAAAAAAGAACTAGATTAGAGTATTTTTTTCTACTAAAACAAATGACAGGTTTTGACAGTTCTGTCATTTTTATTTTCAATTTTCGAATTCAGAATTTACATACAAGTTAAAAATGTGAAATGACATCATAAAATATTGAAAACGGGAAAAGATTAGTGCTGCCATTTGGCAGGGTTTTGACAGGTGTCAAAATGGTTGACATTTTAACTTGATCGACTTAGTAGACATCGATACTTCGTTCATCAAAATCTGCCATAGTCACTCTGCATTTGGATATAAGATTCCAATATTTGACAGCTTACCACGCTTTACCTGTCATATATACAGGGTTGTGCCAATGATAAAAAATGTTGCTTACGGCATCCCCAATAACATATTTAAATTTCATCCAAATATCACGGGTAACCGATTTCCATTTAAATATTGCGGGGTCCTTTAATATACCTTAATATAGGAAATATACAGGGTGGGGACTTTAACTGGAACTAATTCGCTAGAGCCTTCGGATAAAATAGGTGGACAAAACGCAAAAACAAGTCGATTAAGATTTTTTGGCTATTTTTTCATATAATTTTTTTTATACAGGGTGTTCCAAGAACAGCTGTACGGTTATCAACTTTATTTTTTTAAAGAGTAACCCCTGTATATTATGACATGTTTGGATTCTGCGGAAAATTCTAGACATATTTTATGTACAATGTCCTATGCTTATCCTCAACTGTTTCGGAAATATTGACAGTTGAAAATTGACTTTTTTGCATCTTTGACAGACTGTAAAACCTAAACAGTTGATTTTACAGCAAAACCGATCATACATTTTGATCTCAGTTTTCCGTAAACTATCATTTGACACAAACTTTGAATTTAATTCATGATTAAAAATTCCGTCAGCCGATCAAAGTCGCAAAAAAGTCAATTTTCAACTGTGAACATTTTGTGAAACATTTGAAGATAGGTATATGACATTATACATGAAATATTTCTAGAATTTTCCGCAGAATCCAGAAATGTCATAATATACAGGGGCTACCATTTAAACAAATGAAGGGGATAACCGTACAGCTGTTCTTGGAACACCCTGTATAACAAAATTAATGTGAAAAAATCTTAAGCAAAAAATCTTAATCGACGTGTTTTTGCGTTTCGTCCACATATTTTATCTGAAGACTCTAGCGAATTAGTTCCAGTTAAAGTCCCCACCCTGTAGATAATTAATTAAAATTGAAATAACAACACATAACCTGAAGGGCTTTAATATTGTAGTAGAAAACTGCGTCGCTGTGGTGATTTATTCCAATAACGGGTTGATGAGGTTTGATAGGTCCCAGATATTGGGACAATACAACACACTTCTTATCAAACCTGAGTAGTCCCTGATCCCTTGAGGAGAACCTGAAGGAGTGGATTGATATCTTACAGTGTTTCCGATGGCCTGGGACTTGATCAGGGCCGTGACAAGAAGCAACTACTGGCCCTGGGCACTGTAGTTGAATAACCAGAAGCACTAAAGCTTCCAATTGTCTAGCGGAGGCTGAAGACAGGAGGTACGACTTGACATATACAGTAAGCTTAATGTTTAATTCTCTACTCAAAGTTAAGGACTAAAGCGTGACGAATAAATAAGGCCTGAAACAAATGGACGTTATGAGACTGGGCGTGGAGCGATAGGTAGGTAGAAAACTATGCTTTTACATAGGCAATAGAGAAACACAGAGAAGACGACTAAGAAAAACCACTTGCCAACATACTTTGGCCTTAAGGAACAAACAATTGATCACGTTTGCACTTTTTCGGCTCACAAAGAAATCCGCGCAAGGCGCTTTGGTGCTAAAATAACGGATTAGCCACCCTAGATCTATGAGCGAAAACTGGAGAACTCAGACTCAGAAATCGGCAAAATGTGCCTGAGGAATTTTCCCGAACACTTAATCATGAAAAGTCCTCGACCTGAATGACCTCTGCTTGTCCCGTCAATGTACTTTAACAAGGTTGTGTCAAAACTCCAAGGTGAAGGGTTCTCGGGAATTTTAATGGTAGTTGGGCATAGGACTAATTTAAATTAAAATGGTACCGGTCATTGACCTTATTTGGAGCGCTGTCAATCTAATCAAGCTACTCGGATCAGACAATCAGCTGTTCCAATATAAATATTGTGATTTTATTTATTAATAAATTAATTGACTATTTATTTTAACCCTACTAAAAGGAAATCAATTCCATTATTCAACCTGTAACTCGATGATTCTGGGAAGAATAAAAAGTTTGAAGAAAAGTGTGGCCACAACTACTGGAAAGAAAACAGTGGCTCGACGAAGGTATGCTGTTCAATGAGGCGAATAAGCTTATTTCCTTTTATTTTGGCCCAGGAAAAATCATCCCGTGCGAGAATATTCCAAAATACGACCCATGGTTGATTGTTCTTTGGAAAACAGCAGGTGCGTTGACCAACCAAATGGCATCCTAAAGGTACTCGTACTGGCCATCTGGAGTTACAAAAGCGGTTTTCTCCCTGGATTCCCTTTTCATTGGCATTTGGTGATAGCTGCTTGCCATATCCAACGTAGTAAAGAAATTACACCCTTTCAGAACTTCCAATAAATAATCGGCGCCTCGAGGGAGCGGATAGCAATCTTTTGAAGTTTTCGAGTTCAGGCGCGATAGTCGACGCACATTCGAGTTTCGCCATTTTTCTTTTTGACTAGAATAATAGGACTCGAATACGGCGAATTTGATTCCGGAACTATACCAGCTAACGTCAATTCGTTAACTAATTTTCGAACATATTATCCCTTTCAAATGCAAAGAGTCTATAAGGTCTATAAGTTACCGGTTTATCGTCCGCTAAATGAATTTTTATTTCTGCATGTTCAATTTTACCTAACTCATCCATATTTTCCGCGAAAAAATCTCGATATTTATTTAAAAGTAACAATAAATTTTTAAGAACTGTTTGAGACATATTTTCTGGAACGCGATATTTTATACCATTTAAAGAATATTTTGACAGGTTTTCAATATCAATTTTGTGACAAAAACTTACATTTTTTGCTTCAGTGACACATGGACTCCCTCTTGCTACCACTTGGTCCCTCTTGAAACTAATTGTCCCTCTGGACAAGTTCAGTACTGGAATCTTGTAGACTGACGGCGAAATAACACACCTATAGGCGGAAATATACTTCTTATCAGGCTGCAAGCTGCTAAGCATTTTTATAAAAACTTCAGATTCGAGGTCATCTCAAGGTATGCAGCTTACTGGGCCAATGTGACCTGCAGCAAAGACAATACTACTACGAAGTAGTATTGTCTTTGCCTGCAGGTATGTTGGTGAAAGACTCTGCTCTCAAAACGATTTTTTTCGATGGGAGTTTATCGATATTTGGTAGCTCTCTCTGCCATATCATTGGGAAACATTCTAAGATTTCCTTCCTGAATAAGAGTCACTGCATTGTTCTTATTTAGTACTGAGCGACCAATTAGAACTAGCATAGTTTCCATGTTGTCTGCTACTGTGAAAATATCGATTTCAGCCTCCAACAAATCTACTTTTCGAATTGTTTTGTCCCTACCAATCACCTTGCAATTTGCGCCTATATCCATTAAGATAAACATTGTTGTCCACCTCTGTCATGCTTGCTTTTTTGGCATCTGCTTCGGGATAGGGACTAGTTGGCACCCAGAATCGAAAAATCCCCTGAAAACATGCTCATTTATCTCACATGAAACATATTATCCTTCACTTGATTTCTCTGATTGGGTCTCGCAAACCAATGTCTTGTGAGATGAAGCGGCTTTGTTTTTACGGCAAACTGTGGCGAAGTGTCCTAGCTGCTTGCAAACAGCACATTGTTTCCGTAATTTTGGGCAATCTTTGAACATAATATGTCCGTATTCTTTGCAATTAAAGCATCTTGTATGCTTAAACTTTTGATTAATGTTTCGTTTTTTATTATCATATGATCTTTCTTGTGTTCTATAGGACTCGACTAGATCTTTATTAGAAACAGGCACTGATGACAATGCTGATAGATATTCCTTGAATAGGTCTTCTGGAGTGGCATATATCTACCTAATTTTGCCCCTGATTGCACTGTCGAATCAGGAATACCATCTATGATCATGGCTTCTGCATTTTTACCAGAAATATCACTTTGTCGAAGTATTTTTTCATGTTTAATAAGATTTCTGATGGCTGTGGGAAAATCCTGATGATCTGGGAATGCCTGGATGAATCAACGTTTCCACTCGCTCCATGTCTGTCGGTAGTTGTCAAGCCAATCGTACCACATTTTGGCCATACCCTCTAGCCTGGCTTGCGCTTGCATATGAACTTTCTTTTAGGTTGTCATCCCATCTATTTATTTGCGCTAGCTGGTCAACTTTATCCAACCACTTTGGACAATTAAGTGACGTCACGCTTGGGTAAAACTCTGGAATACACTCAGAATTAATTGTTGTTGCGCCGTCTTTAGATCGTAAGAGATTGAGTCCTTGAGTGAGTGGTTGGTCCGAATATAATCTTAGTAGCCTGGAAGAAGGCTGTGGTGCTGTTAGGTTCAGCTAGTTGCAGCATTTCGTTTGATTTTGTTATCCACCATTGGAACTTTAATGCTCGCGTTTGCCTTTGAACTTCTGCTTTTGTTTCCTGGTACTGACTTTTTTCACAGTGGAGCTGGGGTCGCTTTTCCATGCATTATGCGCTCTTCTTCTTCTTTCCATAATGTCTTGAATTTCAGTGTCGTTCTCATCGAACCAGTCTTGATATTTCTTTTGTATGTAGCATACCGTTTCTTCCGAGGCAGATGCTATTGCGGTCTTCAATATTTTCCAGTACATCAATGCTCTCCGGGTACTCTAATGGAAGTTTCTGGCCTAGAGAGGCTTGGAAGTTTGTTGTGATATGATTGTCTTGAAGGCGTTCTGTGTTAAATTTGCGTTTGAACTGCTTGTTTCGACATCTATGCTTTGTTAGGATGCGCAAGTTCATTCTGGCTCGTATCAGCCGATGGTCAGTCCAGCAGGCATCCGCACTGGTTAAACCTCTCGATATGCATACATAATTTCGATTTCTAGAACGTACAATTATCTACTCGATTAGATGCCACTGCTTTGACCTAGGGGGTTGCCAGAAAGTCTTGAATGTATTCTTGTCGGAAAAGTGTATTCGTTATCATATTATAAGGTCATATTCTGAGAACTTTGTTCGGATTCATTTTTCCGACTTTTTTTTTGCCAATCACGCTTTTCCATAAATCTGACTCTGTACCTATCACCTAAAAGAACAAGTTAATCAGATCCAGGTACAGATGATATGGCTTCACTTGAGCAGGGCATACATTTGCTCTTTTTCGTTTTCGTCTGTTAAGAGGGTTGGAGCGTAAACTCTGTTAGCGTAACTTGTTGGTGGTTGCTGAGGTTTAGACGCATAGTGTCATGAGTCTTTCGCATATTCCGGATCGAAGCTCAGCATGATGGTCCATAAATTAAATTTTTATGGCGAAACCCACTCTGTGAATGCGAGGCTCATTCTTATTTTTTCCTTACAGTAGAACCTAAAGCATCCTCCATGCTCTTTAAGTTGACCTCCGCCTGCTCTTCTGATTTCGTTTAGGCAGGGGCTAGACTGAACGACCATTATCGATCGTCCTCGAACGTCCTCGGGCATTTATTTATGTTGAACGTTACTCATCAACATCAATCAACTTTTCTTGCCTTCTTCCAAATCATCTGTCTGGGAGTTTTGGGAATTGTTTCGATTGTGCATGCGTAGTTGATCGTGGTCGACCAACCGGGTCAAAATTCCAACCGGTCGCTGTTGGTCGACCGGAGATGGTCGGGTAGTATAAATGGAACTGCTCGTTTTACGTTGTTTGTTTTTTGATCGTTCGACGATGATCCGATGATCGATAGGGGTCGTTCAGTCTAATCCCTACCTTAGAGCTGTAATATTCACGTCAAATCTCTTTAATTCCCGTGTCACTATTAACGTACTCCGTTCTGGTCTTATATTTGTGCTGGTATCTATGTGTACGAATATTCCATGTGGCAAGATTGAGTTTGTTTTTCTTTACTTTGTTACGACCGCATGGGGTGGACCGTCTAAATGCGGTTATCCAGCTGGCTATGTTAAGGGCACCTTCCATTTAAGGGTGAGCAGACCGGATCCTAAATAGGGCTGCTCAGTCACGGATACAGAACACGAGTTGCTCTACAGCCAATCCTTGAGCAAAACGCTGATCATGCTATCCGCCGCCTATGTCGGTTTGTCATTAAAAGCTTCCAGACTACACTACCCTGCTCCCGTCGCAATTTGCCGATCGCCGAAGGACTTGGGTGTGCTTTGGACTTTTATTAATATGGACATGCTGATGCACAGTGAACAGACCCACGAAAACCTGAGTATACCTACATCAACAGCTGTCGCCATAGCGGCACCATTTTCATGATGCTTAGAAACGTGAAATTTACCGTCACAATGAATTGATGCTCCTTAGAACGATATGCAACTTTGAAAAAATTGTATTTTTGAGAGTTTCAGATTTTTAAAATCAGGCTTCTCCAAGCTCAGCATCATTTTTGCAAGACTAGTAGGGATCACGTTAGTAGGTAATTTAATAATTATTCAATTAGCATATCTATACCCTAGTGGCCTCAAAGGAAATTAGATGGTCTTCCCTCGGAAGCCTTTAATTGAGGTAATGTCCTAATAGGCTATCGGTGTTACTAATGTGTATATAGTATATTATGATGTAATTAGCGATGTGATAAGGCATAATTATACAATCGTTTTATGTACTATATCTTGTGTGGGATGACTTGATCTGTTTGAGTGCTAAAGCCCATTGAGAGGCGCTCCTCTAACATTCTGTAGATTTTATTATTAAATTTAAAATAGTCCAAAACAAGACATTTAGTGAGAATGTTTAAAATTCCGTCAGATTCATCTTTTGTGAGATCATTGTTCTTATTCAACAAGACACAATAACACAATCTCTATAACTTTTTACCATGATATATACTAGCAAACAAGTTAACTATATTGACTATATCGAGACACTTATAGGAAATCGCTTGGTAAATGTAATAATTGCTTTAGGTTGTCCACCAAATGTTACAGATCGTTTCACAAAGGTTCATACTACTGACATAGAACACTCCATAACTCGAAGTAAAAGGGTTCTCGTAGATTAATCTATATGACCCATTCAATTTTTTTGACAAATTAAAATGAATGACTTCTGGTTTGAGAACCGACGAACGTTTTTGACGTCATTGATTTGTTCCAGTCAGATTCTATTTGTTATAAAAGGAAGGAAAAAAGTTGAAAGTATGAACCCTCGTGAAACAAATGGCGTTTCCGATTGGTAGATCTAGTGCGGAACTGGTGCAATTTTTTCTATATCTGTCTTTTTCTACTACAGGTGGATTAAAAGGATGCAGATACACTCAGTGCGCACTGAAACTACCAATCGGAAACGCCAAAAGTTTATGTAAAGATAAAATTACATTATATTGGCAATACAATGTAAAATTGTCAATGCTTTCAAATTTTTTAAGTAGAAAAGGCTTGCGTTGCCAACATAGTTACTAAATTTCTGACTTGGGGAATTATCAATAGTAATATAACTATAACTTCAGTTAAAAACGCATGAGTGCAAATTTGTCGAAAATTATAAATATATTTCCATTACACGAGTTGTATTTTCATAAATCAAAAATTTAAATTTTTTTGTCAAAAAATGTCAAAACACCAGTTTTCGCACCAGTTAGTATGCAATAGACCGATCTCCTATCACCTGGACTGCGCGCGTCGCTTGTAGGCTGCAGGTGAGCGTCCAATGAGAAGCAAGTTTATGACAGGCTTGCGTCATATTCTTATTCAGGGGCCAGTTCAGAATGAATCGTTCCTTCTTTCTTTGTAATGTGTAATTTGACAAAGAGCAAACTAATACTTTACATATTACTTGAACTCACCGCAGTTTCGTTTAAGGTTATGTTAGATTATACTTGACATATTCCTTTGCAATTTTATTGAGCGATATTGCCGGATGAAACATTTATCAAAATAATATTGAAAACGATGTTTATCCACTTTAAAGCTCTTCTTTTGTCTATTTTAAGGCGTTGTGAAACACTTCAGACTATATTACTTCTTTAATGTTATAATGTTCGATTTGTATTGTCTACATTTGTTCTGCAACAATACAATCTGGCTACACTGCAGCCTACGAGCTGCGCGCGCATGTCATATTTTATTGTTTTCTAACTTGTATTTATTACAATGAAGCTTCCTTTTTCTAATCATGGGAGATAGGTCTATTAAATTATCGCGTGATTACAATCTGATTGGTTCAAATCAACAATTAAAACATGTCAATTTATTGTTGGAATACCAGTTTTGACACATGTATGAAATTCTCTTTAACACGTTCGATGCCGGTCAATATTAGGGAGCCTACGCCAGAGGCCAACGAAAAAAAATATATATTCCGCCGGCTAGAATAATGATCCAAAACCAACCAAGTAAATAATTTTTTTAAAGTGTTCAGATAATGCCGACAAATAATCAAAACCTCATTCACAATGCCGTATTCACAATAGCAAATATACGATGTATTGGTACATCACGCTCTAGCGCGAGACCGGCACCCAGCAAAAGTTGGATTTCACGCGATAGTGCGTGATCGGCAGCGAACGTGTTAAAAAAAACAGACTTTATTTTTAAATGCATATTTGTTGCAAAACTTTAATTTCTCTCTTAAAAAACCATTTAGCCCATTTGATAGGAAATTATGTGGAAGTGTTTACAGAACTAACTAAGTATATCTTGTTTATGAATTTTAACCATACCATATAAATTTGCTATTTGAGAAGTCATAGGTAAAAAAGGTTT